GGCAGCACAGATTTCTACCGTGCCCCCCCCAACCCCATCCCGTCCCAATGGAGCCTTTGAAGCTTGTATGGATTGACCTTGTTAAATAAGTTAAGTCCATTGTGGGACACACCTGGAAAAAGAATGAAGATGTTCTTTTGCCAGCTGGTGTGTTCAGAATAGAAGAGTAACGGTACAGAAGATAAGGCACGGCTTACACACAGAGCCACCAACAACTGGCCTCTGATAAGCTGCAACAAATGTGTGCTCATGGAAATGCATTGTTAGACACATGCACACACACACACACACACACGCACGCACGCACACGCACGCACGCACGCACGCACGCACGCACGCACGCACGCACGCACGCACGCACGCACGCACGCACGCACGCACGCACGCACGCACACACACACACACACACACACACACACAGACAGACAGACAGACAGACAGACAGACAGACAGACAGACAGACAGACAGACAGACACACACACACACAGCTTATTTCCCTATCTGTGAAAACTGTACAGAGTAGTGATTTTTCTAACCACAAATAAAAATGATCATAAGGCTCAAAGTTATGCATCATTAGGGTGTGGCCATTATGATTGAAAGGTGGGTCTCTCATGTCTGCTCTGTTGCCTCACCCTGCCCGCCTCAGCTCCACCTATTGGCCCACTTTTTGTCCAGCCGGGAGTTAGGCGGAGTCAGGACTGAGGAGATGGTGTCGGCTGGACACACCCACATTGAGCTTCACAACAGCTCTTAATAAATCTATGGGTGGTGTCACATAGACAAGCTCCATGTTTTAAACAGTCTACGGGTCTATAAGACTTTAAAAACTGCACATCCCAGATTCCTACAGCCCAAGTCGGCCTGACAAAATCTTGTTTGTCTCAACAACAGTCCAAATAATTCAACTTGAAATGCACTGAAAACACTGAAACGTTGACTTTAATTCATGTGTAAATGTATTATGTCAACAGATTTCACATAACTGTATTAGGTTATTTGAAAACAATAATATTAAGTTTAAATAAAAAACGTTAGGTTCAACTTTATTTTTTTTGTTCTTTACCCATTTGTTCAGTGTGGCAACAACAGTTCAACACATATCCAAGTAACAAGCTACTAGCTATGTTACTCATATGCCTCTTTCAACCATTTCAATATGAATGTGTGTGTACACTTAAAAATAGCAGTAAGTGTGAATTTGGAGCAAACCTCTGATAAATAACCTTAACTTGATCTTTAAAGGTCAAAGCAGGAATTTAAATATGCAGCTAATACTGCGCTGCTCCACATCCTTTAATGACAGCATTAATCCTCTGAATATGGTTTTAATTAAGAAATATAATTAGATTAAGGTATTTACATGACCCCAGTGGAATCAAACTTAGATTGACGTATTGATATAAGTGGCAGCTCCTCTGTTTGAAGTGACTGTTCACATTTCGTAGTGGAAATTCAGTGACCACAAACAGACACAAAACCACCAGCAAAGGGACCCAAAGCAGCCATGCAAGATGCAAAATGAATACAAGAAAACAAAACAAAAAATAAACGTCCAGATAGGAGCAATACATGAGATGCAAAAATGAGGGTTAGGGTTATTTATATAGCTATAAAACGGACTAGAGATTAGTAACATAATGACAAAGACATGAGGTTTCACGGGATATAGAGCCAACCACATTTAGCTTTAGAAAACTATGATGAAGTCACTGAGACCCCCTCCACATTTTCTACAGTCTATGGGTCTAAATGCGTTCAGAAAGCAGTGAAAATGGCACATCACAAATACTAAAGCCCATTTGGGCATCATCAGATGTCTTGTTTGTCACACCAACTGTATGAAACCCCAGAACATTACATTTATGGTATAGGATTAGGAAATGCAGCAGTTACTCACACTTCCAAACCTTATGATCAAATGGTGATTTCACTTGAATAATTACTAAAACCATATATAGAACAAAAATCTTCTCAAAAACGTAGTATACAGTTAAGAAAGTCAAACTACCTCAATTAAATGTATTATTAGGGATGTCCCGATCCGATCACGTGATCGGGGATCGGAGCCGATCACGTGATTTTCACGTGATCGGGGATCGGGAGAAAAAAATCGGGGATCGGAATTTTTTTTTTTTTTTTTTTTATAAAATATTTTTATACATTTTATTTAATGTTACAAAACAAAAAGGACCATGTTCACGTCTTAAAGTCATCCTGAGGCCTTAGTTTTGGGTTAAAATTACACAACATCATGTATGTGTTGCTTCTTTTGGGCTTGTTTTCATAGACCTGGTTGCTTATTTCTCTCAAATCTGGCAACAGAGTGGGCGCAGTGTCTAATAGTAGCAGTAAGCTAACAAGAGGCTACGTTCAGCTGGTGACTCGGGAGTCGGGACAGAGAAAATGTCAGGAGTTTGGAAGTATTATAAAATTGAAAGCGAAGGCAGTGTAACAGCCAGATGCAATGTTTGCAAGGCGGAGGTTCCGCGTGGTGGAAAGAACAGAGCTACGTTCAACATGACCAATCTAATACAAACACCACCAACAACAACACGACGAGTACACAGCGGCCACTCAGGTAACGGCACTGAAACAACCGACACTTTCAGAGACTTTTAAAAGGAAAGAGAAACTGCCCCAGAACAGTGAAAAGGCCAAAAAAATAACAGCCAAGATAGCTGAATTCATCGCGTTGGATGACCAGCCGTTATCTGTTACCTTTTTTTTCCTCTTAATGCATTGCATAAAGATCGGATCGGGAAAAATCGGTATCGGCAGATTGTCAAAATCAAATGATCGGAATCGGATCGGGAGCAAAAAAAGGTGATCGGGACATCCCTATGTATTATGTTAACAGATTTCAAAAATAGTAGGTTCAACTTAATATTATTGCTTTTAAATATCCTAATTAAAAAAGTTCAGTAAGGTCTTCATTTTAAATTTCATGAAGATATTTTATTTTGTATCTGACCGAAATCCCGCTCTTTCTCGTCTAACGTCCACATCTAACCTCCTCCACTGCTCTGATTTCAGACTGAAACACCAAATGTCTTGTTTGTTGGAGGACGTTCGCTCACTTCCGGCTCTGAGGCACTCGGCTCCATCAGGAGCTGAAGGAGCTTTCCTGTTGCCACAGGCTGCTATTCATGGCTGTTTCCTCCCTGTGTCTGACCACTGAGTGTTTTCAGGACACACCTGCAGGGCGATTGATGGCCAGTCAAATGTTGAGGTCAAGGTCAGCACTGTGGTTGTATTGTCCTGATGTCCTGTCTGACATGAATCACAGCCTGCTGTTAAACCTCAGGTAGGAGACATTACTAGCAATAAGTCCTTGAAATGCCTTAAGGCGTCTAAAGCATGTTGGTAAACAGGTAACAGCCCTGCCTCTGAGTAACAGGCAGCCTGGGATTGCCCGTGTCAGCGCATGTGATTGTTTTGGCAACAGCGCTATAGAACACAGTGGCTTCAGCTGAGAGCAGTCAACATGTGAAGCTCCTGCTGTCTCACAGGCTGAATGAACTAACACACACTCACCTGGAGCAGCTTAACTTCAATGGATATCTCAGTTCTTTCCACCTATATGCACGCAGGACAGTTTGTGAGAGAAGTCTACATCCAAGTCAATGTTAGAGACGTAAATCTGGACATCCATGAAAAATGTGGTTTCTGTTCAAGAGGAATGATAGACCAGATGAATATGAATTTACAGCAATCCGTTGTGGCTATTTAAGGATGTTTTTCTGTCAGATCAGAGGCATGTGGCTTTATATGACCTCAAGTTATGCAGCCTGTTGACTGAGACTACATTTGACTTCAAGTTTCTGCCTCTCATAAAGCCAAGCACAACTCTCAAGGATTTAAAAACCACAGTGTTCTTTTTCTGTAAAATGCTCCCCTCAAGAAAACACTTTTTTACTCGATTAATCATTTAAAACGGCTCATTCCTTAAAATATTTGCAAAATACTCATACAGCCCCAATTTTTTAATCAGAGAGTTGACGGGGAAAGTAGGCTGCCTGTAATATACGAGTCACAGTAGGAGTTTAATACATTGCTAGAGAGAGTGGCGGCTCAGCCAATGTTACAGCAGCTATAAAGGGATTATTCCCTGGAAGACATAATCATGTGTAACACACTTGTTTCAAATCCTGTGAAAAACAAACAGGTGTTCCAGCTTTAAATCCAGCTTCATCCTGCGGCACACACACAGAGAGAACCCCCAGAAACACAGCCTGATGTCATCTGCTCATTAGTTATTAAGCCATGGTGAATAATGTCGAGATAATTTCAATACCATTCATCACAGGAATACACCCCACATATTAAAGAATAGACTGTCTGGAGATATTAATATAAGTACGCTTAGGCATTCAATGCTGAAAACACTCTCAGATAGACTTCAGCTTTGATTTGCTGATAGACCAAAGGAAAATGTCAGATTTGTTGAATGAATGTAGCCTTATGGCATATTCAACATGTCCAAAAAACTGTATTATATGAAATATTTGAAATATTTAGCAAATTAAGTGTTTTATTTGGTGAAAAACATACAAGGAGCATCAGGCACTGACCCAAGAACTAACCACTATACACCACTGTATATATTTTAATATACATTATATATTTTGTAGTACAATGTGCACATTTTGTATTATGTTTAAATAATATTTGTAATGTATTACATATTTTATTGATCCTTTTACTTTGACTTCTTATATTTAAACAAATATCTTTATTTTATTTTATCTTTGTATTGCACAGTCTGACTTTAACTTCTTATTGGTATTAACATATTTTAATAAATGTTTTATTTATCTTTGTCTCATTTCGTTTTAAAATGGAGCAACTGTACTTTTTGTTGTCCACCTGGAAGTTACAAAATTGTAATTCGTGTAATTTCTATCTCTAAAATGTCACGGAACACAATTCCCCCAGCAATTGATAAAGTCTTGTGCTCCTGACACTGAGGAGAGCTGTGGAATGAGCTGTCACTGACCTGAGAGCGCCCACAGAAAGGTGAGTGCAAGCAGAGGAAGTTTCCTGGAAGTGTTGGAGAGCTCCATGGTTGTTAGTGTCTTTCACCGGCTCTGTGACTCTGTCCGCCGCAGGCTCAGTCTGGCAGGTGTCTCCCCCCGAGCCCAGCACAGAGCCAGCCACGGAAGGTAAGGGACACTTGGGGTGAGGAAATATGAGGAGCCGGTCGGTCCCACAGAGCGGCGGGAATCCTCCTGACCCAGCTGAGATGGTGACAGTGGAGTGGGATCAGCACAGCGGACACTGGAGGTCTGTAACCACTCTTCTTCTTCTACTCTTCTTAACGCTCAGCTGCATCTGCTACTCCCTGCTCCACCAGCGAGTAAAACTCTGAGTGTGTGTGTGTGTGTGTGTGTGTGTGTGTGTGTGTGTGTGTGTGTGTGTGTGTGTGTGGTGTGTGTGGTGGGGGGGGGGGGAGAGGGAGAGAGAGAGAGAGAGAGGAGAAGAGAGAGAGAGAGAGAGACGAGAGGAGAGAGTAGAGAGATGGAGAGAGAGAGAGAGAGAGAGAGAGAGAGAGAGAGAGAGAGAGAGAGAGAGTGAGAGAGAGAGAGAAGCAGTACCACCTTACCTTAATAATCATTACGAGTTCCGGTGATGTCCTTCAAAATAAAACCTTTTTACGTACACAGTTCTAGCGAACGCTTATCGTGACATTCCGCTTTTATATTGTAAGGAACATTTTTATTGACATCGTTCTTTTCCCCGCTCAAATGTTCTAGCTTGACTCGCAGGTACACCCAGAGCTGCCAGCCTTTGAGTTCAGCTTGGAGTGAGATTTTTTTTTTTTAGTGGGGGGGGGGGGGGGTTAACAAGATATTAAAGTTGAAAGAATCAATCTGGTGCACTTTGAGAGCAAAATGAAGAGATCTATGGATACATCTCTCAACACCCAAATGAAACAGAACTGTAAACAGATTTTCTTTTTCTTTATGGATATTTTACAAATCACTCACCTTTTAAACTGTATTCTTGTTTTACTGTCATACTGTATAGTATTTCATAACTGTTTTTCATTTATTCTCTTATTGTTTTATAACTATATTGATCGTATGAAGGTGTGCCTTGGAAATAATTGTTTACATATATCGTGACCAAACCGTTTGAAACCGACTGAGATAACTTAGACTAAAGTTAACTATCTAAACACTCCGAGTGTCCTTTACCTCACTGAGCTGTAGTTATCTGAGCCTCTCAGTCTGACAGGAAAGGACTTTCACTTCACCTTGTTGTAGAAACAGCTTCTTACACCTGTCCTCTGGCTAGCAGCGGTACCGTGCAAAGCTGATTAACGTACAATGTTGGGAGTATTTCTGAGTCAATTTCACAAAACAGTGACTATTAAACTAAACATATAACTAGGTTACCTGTTAAAAACGATTTCCGTGTATTTTGTTCCTCAAACACATGAACATAAACGGTGTAAGACAGTAATCACATGTATCTGTGTATAGATAAGTTATTATGGTCCCACCAACGCTTATGGTTTATTAAAAATACGCGCCATATAGGCTACATTTCACCATCTTATTTAAAGCTCAAATGTCTGACCAACTAGGCTACTTGTTATGACCTGAAATTGTCTTTAAAAAAGATATAGAGCAAAAAGTGTGTTTCATCAAATACTAGGCGGACACACTCGTGTGCAATTTGCCATTTTCGAATACCCTGGCTCAAGCTTTTCATCAGTAAGCCTTTTTTCCAAACCAACACAACTGCAGCTCCATGTTTCCCCTGCAGACCGTCAGCTCCTGTTCCATCATGTGTGAAGAGGTGTGGGTCTGCAGCACACACACACACACACACACACACACACACACACACACACACACACACACACACAGGCACACACACACACACACACACACACACACACACACACACGCGCACACACACATTGGACTCAGCTTGACGTGAATTCCCAAGGTGAGCTCACCCCTGATGTAGAAATATGGAGTGACCTGTGCTCTCCACAGTGGTCAGAGCCCTTTACTTCATCCTATAAGGTTGCCCAGTTGCCTCAGCAACAAGGGTGAGGCTAATGCATGAGGATCACCCAATTACGAGAGGTGAACAAGGTTATCCCTGTGATTAAATCCAAAGAAGCAGGGTCCAAGCCTCATGTGATTTTGTTGTGTTGTTGTAATCTTCATCTGGGCCTCCAGCTGAAATATACAGAACTCAGAGGAAAGCTGTCAAAACAGCCCTGTTTATATTGTGTGGCTATAAAAATGTAAGCACAAGCCTAATACTTGATTTTTAACAAGACTACAAACCCAACCATATGATGAGCAAACCTGACACCTGGAGGCCAAACAAACTGCTTGCTTCAATTAATTATATGTAAAGGTTCATGGTTTTGTAATATTTTCAGCAGAAAAGTGGCAAGTAACCCATGCCTTCAACAACGGACAAACATTTGTATTATCAATAATATAATAAATAAATACAAATAAATATCAAGGACAATAACTGTTGACATCAAATCATAAAAACAAAATGTGTGCATTGTGTGCAATGGAATTTTACTGGAAATGTATGGATATAAGCATTTGGAAATGATTTCATGCTTTAATGAAATATAACGATAGATACACAAGACCACTGTGTGATTGTTTCTATGATCAGATTAATTCAGATTATACTCTATAGGATATTGCTGATGTGTGAAATCTACATCATGCAGAACAGTATTATTGGTTTATGGCAGATATCATCTGTGCCCTAGATATGTAAAGACCGGAGACGTGATTATTGACCTCGTCCTGCTGCTTCTGGACATACTCTATAGATACGTTTTGATTAGTTAAGCTTTTTCTTATGTCAGCTCATGAATTATCTTTTCCATTTCACTTCTACAGTTTGTTCAACAAGTTATTAAATACTAATACTGTTCGCAGCTCAGCACAAGATTGATCCATGATGCTTCAAGGATTAAACCCTTATGTAGATTATTAAAAATTTAAAAATCCTGTTGTTTCCTGCATGATATAACACATGTAAGAAAACGTATTACATATTCATTGTGAAGAAAAGCAAAATGGCCTATCAATTATAAAACAGCATGTTATCATGTATGAGTAATTTCTGTCATTGAAAACGTTTTGCACCTACACCGTGTAAATAAAACGGTTGAATATGGATATGTCATATTAATTGTTAACTAATTTACGGAGCCCCTAAAGGAGTAGCATGAAGCTGCAGCGTCGGAGACTGCAGTTTCAGGACCGCAGTCCTGGGAACGCACTCCTAGGACCCTAGTTTTTCGTGACACTGCCACCTAGCGAGTAGGAGACATGAATATAAACGACAACGCACAGAGTGTGAGTAATGTGAAGTGCTTTTAAAGTTTTATTTGTTTAACATTAATAACGAAGTGTGATTAGCTAACGTTAACTATGATAGTCTTAAGGCAATACAAACAATCACCTGTTAGCTTATGATAGCTTCTAACCGTCTTAAAGGCACTAAAAACAATTATTCGTTAGCTATAGCTTTCGGCAAAATAAACTGTTAGCATTTTTGATTATTTATTTAATGAAACTGTAGCGTGATTTTGGCAAGCCCAACTAGGTGTCCTACATTAATTGTTGACAGCAATACAAGCACCACAGGGAAACAGTCATCTGTTAGCCTATGATGATGACTCGCTGCAAAACCAACTGTTAGCCTTTTTGTTTATTTGTGTAATGAAACCGGGTGCTTTCAATGCGACCATCTTTATAAGGACGTTGGCACAGGCTACCGGGGAAGTGGACGGCGAGGAATCTTGGAGAGTTTTTACCCCGAAGAGGGCTTCCCGGGGTACTGCAGCTGGAGCTGTTTTCTGGTGGCTGAGGGAACAACAGACCCCGCCTCACCCCAGTGAAGAATCCTAAGTGTCCTCTCCACTTTCAGAGGAAGGGTCAGAGACAACTCAAAGACATGCTGGACTCCAGAGGTCATTCTGTGTCCGTGTTAAGGAAATTGTGCCCGTCTTCTAAATAAATAAAAATGTATTCTGCACTGAAATGCCTCTCGGTCAAACTGCATGTTCAACACTGAACAGTTGTTTTTGAGTAATCAAGCACCTCTTCAAAGACACATTTGATTTGATTATTTCGAACGTGTAATATAATAATGAAATTAAACAAGATAATTATGATACTGTAAAAACGTAAGCAGTATCAAATTGATAAACTAAATATTATTGACTTACAAATTATATATAAACAAATGATCTACCTAATTACACATCCGAAAAGGCGTGGGAAGGAGTTTACACGTATTTAATCCCACCCCTTCTCCCAAAAACTAAATTAACATTTTTGTTTTCTTTTAACAAAATATACATCTAAATGTATGTCTACATACAATATATATCATTATTACTACAATATATATATATGCATATATTAATTTACGATGTATGTCAAATTTGATAAGACAAATATAAAAGACTATCTTTTTACATCTGACATACAAAATACATTTGTTATTAAAAAACTGAAACATAATAACAACAAATTGTTGTTAATAATAATAATTACATTTCTGTAAGAAAAACATATTTTCATGCATTTTTAGATCGTTAATAACAAGCATTACAATGTCTAAAGAGACTCGCTGTGTATGAGACTCAATACTCGCTGGTTGTACTTTTGCGGGCATCCAATTCGCTAGGTGGCGGTGTTGCAAAACAACTAGGGTCCTAGGAGTGCGGTCCTATGGGTGCGGTCCCAGGACGGTCCTGAAACTGCAGTCTCCGACGCTGCAGCTTCATACTATTGCCCTAAACTTTGGAACATGAAAAAAAAAAAAAAAAAACAGAGAGAGAAAAAAAAAAGTCAGGATAACGGGTTAGTATCTTGTGCGCACGAGAAAGTTTTAAAACGTGTTGAGAGCTAAAACTAGTCTTTGCTTCTGCCTCAAAGAGGAGCAGGGGGGAGAGGAGGGAGACAGGTGAGGCTGGTTCAGGAGCCCAGACACACTCACAACTATAAATGAACCAAAAACAAATAAATAAACAAGTTTCAATGTTTTTTCATATTGGATATGGTATGTTATTGGTTATGGCCATGTTCTTATGATTTTATGATTATTTAAATGTATACAGTTCTGTTTCATATGGGTGTAGTCTCTTTATTTCCTCCTCAAAATGCACCAGATTGATGCATTTAAGTCCAACATTTAAAAAAATATCTTACCGGGGGAGCATGCCCCCGGACCCCCCTATAGGATTTGAGGTCCACCCCCACTTAAAATATGTTCACATGAATAGGTTCCTAAATAGATTTGCTAATTTTTTTAAACAGTAACCCATGTCCATATGTTTATTTGTGGGTAGTAGATTTAAACTA